CCCGTCTCCACTGTCCCACGGGCTGGTGTGTCTAGTAGCCTCACACAAACACCACACTGTTTTCATTTCTGTGCTTTACAGCGTGTTCCAATACCTGATAGTACACATCCCTTCTGTTCTTCTTCAAAATTGTCTTCACTATTTCGGGTCTTCCATTATTTCCGTATACATTTTGGAATTAGCTTGACAGTTCACACACACACACACACACACACACACACACACACGCACGCATGCACACACACCCACACTGTAAACCTGCTGGAACTGCACTGGGATTGCATTGAGCCCACAGGCCCAGTGGGTGAGAGCTGGCATCTCCGTCAACATGGCACCCTCGCCATGGCTTACATCTGTCATTTCTCTCAGTCATGTGGTCGTGTTGAATGCAGAGGCCTAAAACAGCTCTTCACAGAACTTTCTGAGGAAATTTATTATAATACATTTATTATAACAGCTTTAAAACCTCCTTTCCAAACTCTCTTTTGCCAGCACACATGAATCCTGTCTCCTGACCTGGTTCCAGGAGTCCGCCACGGTCCCTGGTAAATTCTGACAGCGCGCTGCAGATGCTTTCGGGTTTTCCACGGACAGAATCACGCTGCCTACAAACACAGTTTCTTCTTCTCAATCCTGCTCCTTTTCCTTTTCATGCCATACTGCATGGGATACAGCTTCTGGCACATGGGGAACAGAGCAATAGTACTGGACGCCTCAGTTTAATCCTTTATCTTAGCAGGAAAGACGTGAACGTCTCAGTGAGCATGATGTGAGCTGCAGGGTTAACATCTCCTTGGTGGGCGTGACGTGAACCACAGGGTTTTGAAGGTACCTTTTGGGAGACTGAAGGCATTCCCATCTATTCCTAGTTTGCTAAGAGTTTCTTAGCCTCCTTGAGTGTTGCATTTTATCAAGTGCTTTTCTGTACCTGCTGAAACAATCTGTACAGATTTCCTCACTTATTCTATATTATGTGGTGAATCATCCCCAGATCCAGAATGCAAATCAACCCTGAATCCCTACAATCAATCCCACTTTATAATGATGTATCACCCTGCTACATATGGCTAGATTTACGTTGTTAGTATTTAGGTCAGGATTTTTGTTTCTGTGTTCATAAGGAAGACTGGCATGGTATTTTCCTTCCTGGGATCCTCCTAAGAATCTGGAATCAAGGTACTGCTGGCCTCATGAGGCATGGCGGGGTGTACTTCCTGCCATATTCTCTGTAACAGTGTGTGTCAACTGCTGCTATCTACTGCTCAAATATGGGAATGAATTCACCCACACAGCTATCTGGGTCTAGAGTTTTCTTTGTGGAATATTTAATTATGGATTTAATTTTTAAAATTAATATTAAGCATCCCAGATTTTCTGTACTTCTCGGTAACCTATAGTTTTCTAAAAAAAAATTTCCTTAAAGTTGTCAAATTTATTGATGTTTATAACGTCTCTACAGTTTTTTTTAATGTGTAGGATTGGTAATGATCTATCCATTTTCATTCTGATACTGGCAATCTGTATTTTCTCACTGTATCTTGATTAATCTTGTAGGGGTTTAACAGTCCTTCCAAAGAGCCGATTCTTTTGGCTTTGCTAACTTGCCTACTGGGTGTCTGCTAGCGGTTGCACATGTCCCTAGCTCACGCAGCACACATCCGCGGCTTGCCCAGTCTGCCTTCCATTTGTTTGTGACTTCTCAGATGATGCGAGGACATCCCAGCACTTTAACACCGTCCGCCTCCCCTCTGTCTTCTGGGCCAGTGTCACCAGCACCAGCACACACCGGGCCGTATCTGCGTCGTCGCCGGCACACACCGGGCCGTATCTGCGTCGTCGCCGGCACACACCGGGCCGTATCTGCGTCGTCGCCGGTACACACCGGGCCGTATCTGCGTCGTCGCCGGCACACACCGGGCCGTATCTGTGGGAGTCGTCATCATCACCACTCCACCGTCGACGTCCACCCGGGCGTGGCCGCGTCCACGGCTCCCAGCCTCCCTTCCTCCGTGCAGCAGGACTGTGCTTCCGAGGTCGCTGCTTTTCCACCGGGAGCGGGTGGAACTGTTTTCACTTTACCTTTACTTCTGAGGCACGTCTTCCCCAGGGTGCAGCTGGAGACCGGTTATTGGTCTCGTGTGCTTTGAAGATGCGCTTCCACTGCCTTCTGGATTCCATCGTTTCTTCTAAGAAGTCAGGTGTCGGTCTCGTTCCTTTAAAAATCATGTGACTTTTTTCTCTGACTTTAATGTGCTCTTAACATGTTTTCCTAGTTTCAATCTGCTTTTCTAAGATTTTATTTTTGGCTTTGGTTTTAAATTTTTTATTATGCTATGACCAAGGGTGGTTATTTGTTTTTTGTTTTGACATAGAGTCTCACTCTGTCACTCAGGCTGGAGTGCCATAGAGTGATTTTGGCTCACTGCAACATCTGCCTCCCTGGTTCTAGTGACTTTCATGCCTAGGCCTCCCAAGTAGCTGGGATTATAAGCACCCACCACCACACTCAGCTAATTTTTGTATTTTTAGTAGAGACGGGGTTTCACCATATTGGTCAGGCTGGTCTCAAATGCCTGAGCTCACATAATCCACCGGCCTCAGCCTCCCAAAGTGTTGGGCTTATAGGCATGAGCCACTGTGCCTGGCCAAGGGTGGTTTTTTAAAAGGAGAAATTTATCTATTCATAGAGCTTCTTGAATCTGTGACTTGAAGCATTTGGACAGCTTTGGAAAACTCAACCATTACCTCTTCAAATGTTGTTTTTGACCATTTTCTCTCTCTCCTGTTCATCTAGGACTCTTAACTATATTCTTCAGACTTTTTAATCATTTTTTCTTTTGTATATTAACATAAGTTTTCTTATCCCCTGCCTTCTAATTCACTAATCCTTTTTTCTGCTTTGTCTACATGGAGATGTAGCTCACCTACTGAACTCTTAATTTTAGTTATGATATTACTCTACACTGGAATTCCCTTTTTAAAATAAAATTTAAGTTCCCTGTAAAAGTCTATACCATTGGCCGAGCGCAGTGGCTCACACCTGCAATCCCGGCACTTTGGGAGGCCCAGGCAGGTGGATCAAGAGGTCAAGAGACTGGGGGCATCCTGGCCAACATGGTAAAACCCTGTCTCCACTAAGAATACAAAAACTAGCTGGGCACGGTGGCCAGCACCTGTTGTCCCAGCTACTTGGGAGGCTGAGGCACGAGAATTGCTTGCACCTGGGAGGTGGAGGCTGCAGTGAGCCAAGATGGTGCCACTGCACTCTAGTCTGGCCATAGAGCAAGACTGCTCAAAAAAAAAAAATCTATACCATTTACTATTTTCTTTCACATATTCATAAATCAGGTTGAGTGTCCCTCATCCAAAATGCTTGGGAGCAGAAGTGTTTCAGATTTTGAACTTTTTTTCAAATTGCTGACTTTTTTTTTCAGATTTTGGAGTCTCTACATGGTATTTACTGGATGCACATTCCTCATCAAAACTCCAAAACCTAAATGTTCCAATGAGCATTTCCTCTGTGCATCATGCTGGCACTCAAGAAGTTTCAGATTTTGGAGCCTTTTGGATTTTGGGTTTTTAAATTAGGGGTGCTCACCCTGTAGTTATTTTAAGTTGAGTGTTTAACCAACTGTCTCAATATTTGCATGGCCTGTTGGTTGGTTTCTACTTACTGTCTCTCCTTTAGTAATTGGATCCTGTTACCTGTGATGCCTAATGACTTGGGCTTAAATCTCAGACACTGTATGAAAAACCACAGAGATTCCAGATGACAGAACCGTCCTGTCTCCAGACAGACAGCGCAGACATGCCTCCAGGCTACGCTTTAGGTTTTGGTGGTCATGGCTGGTCTATTTCTGGTTTACCTCCATCTCTCATCGTCTCAACTGGAACTTGTGTTTGCAAGAGCCCCTCCTCCTGGGTGGGCCTTCAAATCCGACTTTCGTCTTCTTAGTTCTCTGAGGGTACCCACTTCTGTTCAGCTTTTCTTGTAAAGTGCTTGCTGGCTGACTTGCTGGGCTCTCACATCACACACACACCAGTGACTACGGATCAGCAAAAGCCTGCCTCACAGGGAAAGCAGACTGAGGGCTGCAATCCCCGTGTGCTCCAGGGTTTTACTCCTAAGGGGCCTCAACTCCAACTTTTGTCTCTCTAGCCCAGTAAGACCACTAAAGCTATAAGCCACCACCACTGTTCAGTCTCGATAAGCTTGGACGCAAGCTGGCAAACGTCCTGGGGTGAGAAGGAAGTGATGGTGAGCCTGAGTTACCCGGGAACGCGTGCCTCTCCGGGCCTGGCTCCCAGCTGTTCCCACGCCTCCCTCATGCCGGATCTGTGTGTCTCTGTGTGTCCGTGTTCATCTATGTGTGCATGTTTCTGCATGTATGTGCATGTGTTTTCTTTCTGTTTGTTTTGAGACAGAGTCTCACTCTGTCACTGAGTGAGACTGGAGTGCAGTGGCACAATCTTGGCTCACTGGAATCTCCACCTCCCGGATTTCAAGCGATTCTCCTGCCTCAGCCTCCCAACTAGCTGGGATTGCAGGTGCTCGCCACCGTGCCCAGCTAATTTTTATATTTTTAGTAGAGACGGGGTTTGTCCATGTTGACCAGGCTGGTCTCGAACTCCTGACCTCAGGTGATCCACCTGCCTCAGCCTCCCAAAGGGCTGAGATTACAGGTGTGAGCCACTGCACCCAGCCACATGTGCATGGGTTTTAACTAGGTTTTACAGTGCCTGTCAGCAGGAGGGCTGGTCTGAGCAGTGAGTCCTGCCTGGCACGTGGAGCCGTCAGTCATCCCTTGGGAGGTGAGTCCTCACCAGGCACTGTGCCGGAGCGCAAAGGTTAAGATGCCCGTGTTCTCAGGGCTGTGCATCAGGGCGCCCTCAGGTGAGGCCCTGCCCTTGGCCCTTCCCATTCTTCCACGGGCACACATGGCAGTGGACCCCGGGCTTTCCCCCAACAGCCCTGACCATGGTCAGCCCTCGGCACTCACCTGTTTGCTGCCCCTCTGAGCCATAGGAAGCAGTGCTCTGGACTTTTCTGCAATTTTCTGTTGAAAAAAGTACAAGAGAAGAAAGAAAGGGCAAAAAAGGCAGGGAGGGAAGACGAAACAGTCAGACGAGTGCAGGGCTCGGGGCGATGGCACCTCAGGCCACTTCCTCCACTCCCAGGAGAGGGCCGGGGCCGGGCCGGGCTGAGCTCTGTTAGTGAGTCACTGGACGGCCTCTGCCCAGGCATGGGGGCTCTCTGGGCCTGTGTCCTCACCTGTCAGAACAGGGTGAGACCTGTTCTTCCTGCCTCCTCAGAGCTGCTGTGGGGCGGCTCTTGAAGGTAAGTGTCCTCTAGGACACGTGCCCTGATGCACAGTCTGGATCCTGCCTTTGGGGAGGGGGCTGCCCCAGGCCCACCCAGGGACGAGACAGCTGCCAGGGTGCTCCGGCAACGGAGGCCTGCCCCACCTGGCCTGCAGGCCCCGCCCCCTGCACCTCACCTTCTGCACCACTCCATAGCGCTGAATGGCATCCGAGAGCTGGGCTTTCAGCTGGTCCAGCTGAGGGCGCTCCTGCTGCAGAGAGAGGGCGTGGCTTGCGCGGCATGGGAGGCTTTGCCCCGCCCCAGCGGCCCCACCACCCACACCTTGTCCTGTACCCACGTCCCACCTTCCCACACTCAGAATGGGGTGCGCCATCAACCTCTTGCCCCCATGTCACTAGTGTCTCGACAGGCTCACCCAGGTATCCAGGGACACCATCACCACAAAATCCAGCTCGGGGGTCAGCACCACGTGCCAGAGCCAGGAGCTACACAAGGCACGCAAACCTGGCCCCACACCCCACTCCATGAGAAGCACTGTGACCCTCTTCCACAGCGCAGGACACCAAAGCCCTCAGTCCCCAGTGGCTTGTCTGTGGTCACACAGGTGGTGAGACCACCACCAGAACTATCCTTCCCAGTATCTCGCCTCCAGGGTTCTACCAACCCCAGTTCCTTCCTGCTGGGACGTTCACCACTGCACCTCAGCACCCACCAGGCACCTGCTCCAGAGCGGGAGCTGGGGAAGCCCTGAGCCAGGGTGAGGCTAGACAAACAGCCCTGGGGCCAGCCCCACAGCTCTGGCTCACCGTGGGCATCGCCCACCAGCAGGAGCACCAAGGAACCCAAGCTTCCTTCCAGCCCCACCCAATGGCGATCAGAGGACTCCAGAGAGCCAAGTCTCAGGTGGGCTGGCCTGGGGTCAACCTCTGATGGCCAAGGAGCACTGGGGACAGCCTATCACGGCCTTGACCTCGTCCCACGATTGAAGGGCCTCAACAAAGGTCCACGGCCCACAAAGTCGAAGATGCGGTAGGCACTGACAGCACCACCGAGCCGCATGAAGGAACCATCCGCTCGACCAGGAAGCGGCCTGTGCAGACCACCTGACCCTGCTCTGACGACACGGAAACACCTCTCAGAATCGCAACCCGCGGCCATCGGGGGCCTCCCTCTGCGCCTCACGTAAGTGCAGTATTCTTGCAGGGATGAATAAATGAATGAACAGTGACTCAGGCACACCTGACTCAGAAAACGAAGAACAAAGCTACAGAGGAAGAGGTCAGACACGGGCATCGGTGCCGGTTGTGATGCTGCTGGCACCACTGCCTGAGGGCACAGGCCAGGGCAGCATCCAGTCCCTGTAAAGCGGCCCCCGCAGGGCAGCCAGGGCTAGGAGGAGTGACCCGCACACAGAGAGGCTCCAGGCTGCTCAGCACGAAGCTCCCCGTGCTCCTGTCGTCCGACTTGAGGGAGACTCCGGCCACCCTGTCACCGGATGGGGGCTGCTGCGTCTGCAACACGGCTTTTTAGTTTAACTAACTTTTGAACCAGTTCTACTTTGCTAAGTGAACGTTGCATTACAGTATAATTTAACCCGATAAAACTCGGGCGCCCGAAGTGTAGCGTTCAGTCATTCCGGCCGTCCGGTCGTCCCCACAACCCGGTTTTAGAACTTCCCCATCACCCCAGGGAGGGCCCTGCCTATCTGCAGGTGCCCCAAAACCAACTCCTGCTCCCAGCCTCGGCCACCACTCATCTACTTTTGGTCAACAGAGATTCGCATTTCCTGGCCGTTCCACACAAACAGAACCACACACTGTGCGTGCTCCTGCGTGGGGGCACGCGGTCTTCCAGTCCCGCCACACGGCGCCCTACCTAGCTCTCCGCCCCTTCTCACTGCTGACCAAAAGCACCCAAAGCAGCACTGGCCACGTCACGCGTGTTTCCCCAGGGAGGGCGGCATGCGTTCCCCCGCAGGACGGGCTGGTCCATGCTGCCGGCTCTGCCGCTGGCCGGACCTTGCAACCCCAGCCCTGCTGAGGCCATGAAGCGGGTGCAGGCCAGCGGCTACAGCTTGCTGACTCTGGCCCCGTAAAACCTTAGGGTCCAGCAGCCTTTCATCTTTTATGACAAGCACCCTCCAACCTTCAACGACTGGGTGCTGACCTGGTGTGGTGGCGCAGAGGGTGTGGGGAGGGATGGAAGTGGGGACAGGGTCAGGCGCAGTGGCTTAGGCCTGTAATCCCAGCAATTTGGGAGGCCGAGGCAGGCAGATCACTTGAGGTCAGGAGTTTGAGACCAGCCTGGGCAACATGGTGAAACTCCATCTCTACTAAAAATACAAAAGCAGTTGGGCATGGTGACAGGATCCTGTAATCCCAGCTACTCAGGAGGCCGACAGAATCACTTGAACCCCGGAGGCAGAAGTTGCAGTGAGCTGAGATTGCACCACTGTACTCCAGCCTGGAAGACAGAGCTAGACTCCGTCTCAAAAAAAAAAAAAAAAAAAAAAAAACCAGGGACAGGGTGGGGACGAGAGTGTGGTCTCGGCAGCTGAGCCAGACGGTGGTGGTGGCTGTGATGGTGGGTGTGGTGGTGCCCACTGCCATGGTCATGTATCTGGCCTGAGGCCCATGTGTCTGGCAAGGTGTGAGGGTAGGCAGGGGGTGGGGAGGGGTACGCGCAGGGGCTGTGAATGGCGGATGCAGGCAGAGGGGACGCAGGGCCGGGGAGAGGATGGTGAAACACATGACGGCCGGCCATCAGCCTCCAGTAAGGTCCGGCCTGGAAGATCTGGGGCACTCCTGTCCCACCACCGCATAAGCCAAGGAGAGCAGGAGCCCGGGCAGACACACCCACTCCCACCTGAAAGAGCCACACAGGCTCTGAGCCACGGAGCCACACAGGCTCTGAGCCACGGAGCCACACAGGCTCTGAGCCACGGAGCCACATCAGGACAGAGCTAGGCCAGCTGTGTCCACCCGCGCACCTCAGCCTCCCTGCATCCTGCCTCGTGTGACGTCCCCGACCCCACCACAGGCACAGGGGTCCGTGCTTCCCTCTCTCCCAGCCCCAGACCCTGGGGACATACCGGGCAGGAGCTGGGCAGCAGCTCGGCCATCTGCTTCACGGAGCCGGCACTGGCTGCGATGGTCTTGTTAGTCTCCTGCTGCGCCGTGTGCCTGGGGGCAGAGAAGGGGCCGGGAGGGAGGCAGGGGAGGGAGGCAGGGGAGGGAGGCAGGGGGCAGAGGCAGGGGAGGGAGGCAGGGGAGGGAGGCAGGGGGGAGAGGCAGGGGAGGGAGGCAGGGGAGGGAGGCAGGGGAGGGAGGCAGGGGAGGGAGGCAGGGGAGGGAGGCAGGGGAGGGAGGCAGGGGAGGGAGGTAGGGGAGGACAAGGGCCCAGGAGGGCGCAGCAGGGAGGGACGCATGAGTAGAGTCAGGGAGACAGGGATAGACGGACAGACAGATGGAGAGCGGGCCAAGAGACACAGAAAACAGCAGAGGGGGAAAAACAAGAGCAGGGCAAGGGCAGCAGAGAGACAGAGGAAGAGGCAGAGGCTCCGAGAGAGAAGGGACAGAGACGAGAGCAGTGACTCCCACAGAGGAGGAGGAGGGAGCCCGAAGCCAGGACAGGGAGGGACAGCAGACACCCAGCAGGAGACAGGGAGGGCAGAAAGGCCGGCGGGTGTGGGGCAGGGGAAGAGACAGGGGAAGAGCAGGTAAGCTCTGGCTAGAGTGGGTGGTCCAGGCAGCCATGGCAGTGGCAGGTGGGTCTCAGCCATCAGCCACTGCCAGGACTACCTTGCCCCCATGCCGCAGCCACCCCCAAATGCCCACAGAGAGGTGCCCGGCCACAAGCCTGCCCTGCAGAGAGGCCCCTCTGGGGTCAGCTCTCCTTGGGAAGGCAACAGTACGACGGCCCAGGGAGGCCAGCGGCCCTCAGCACCCCCGCACACACCTGCAGGGCCCCGGCTGAGACGGTTCCCACACCCAGGCCCAGTGAGATGCAAGGAGGCCAGGCCAGTCCCGGGCTGCAGTTCCAGGCCTGCCCTTGAAAGCACATGGGAAGAGCAGCTGTCTCCCAGTTGGGGTTCGCCACCCCCATCCCTGGACAGGGAGGCACCAGGGCAACCGTACCCAGCCCGGCTGCAGGCACACACCCCAAGTGCAGGAGCACCCTGGCCTGGCAGAAACTGGGGAGCCTCGGTGACCCCTCCAGGTTCAGCCCAAACGGCCTGAGAGCCCCTCAGGCATCACCCAGGGCCTGCTCCAAGCCAGCCTCGGGGCCAACAGGTCGGAGTGAGCCTGGTGCCACCACAGGCGGCCAAGCCTACAGGAGCGGGGCCCACCTCCTGATACCCACCCTGGGCGGGCAGAGCCTGTGGCACGCAGAGGAGTAGGAGTGCCCCCAGAACAGGCGCCAGCAGGCTAGAGAGGGTGTGGGCCAAGGAGGGCGAGGAGCCACGAGGTTGCCACAGCCTGCGTGGAACCTCAGGGACAGGAGCCTCCCTCCCCGTGGACTTGGGCGGGCCGCCTCCTCCAGGACTGGTCGGAGGCTCTGGAGAGCCTGCAGTGCCTCCCGCCCCCAAACACGCCTCTTCAGCCAACCACTGGCCTAACACTGCGAGGACTCGGAAGCAGCGTGCCCCTCACCCCTGCTCCCGAGGGCCTCCCCCTCGCCCTGGGCTGCCCACAGCCTCCTGTCCCCAGCCCACTCTCCTGCTAGAGAAAGTTCCGATCCAGCCACTCCAAACCTCACCGCTCACCAGCGGTTCCACCTTTCATTCCGGTCACAGCCAGCGCCCCTCTAGCGCTGCTCCAAGCCCTCACGGGCGGCCCACGGCGCCGGTGTCCACTTGACTCCCGGCCCACAGGCCTCGCGGCTGCTCTTGGAGAAGCTGGACAAATCCTTGCCTTCGTTCATTCTAGGCCGGGTACGGACCACCCAGCCCTGGCTGCTGACCCAGGAGTGTGTTTGTGGTCACGCTGCCACCGTGGGGTAACGCCCCCTGCACCTGCCCACACCGCTTCCCAGGGAGGGCCAGGCAGGCCACGGCCCCACACTCTTCCCCGCTCCTCTCTGACCCTTCCCTCCTCTAGACTGTCACGGTGTCAGGGGCTCTCCCTCACGCCCCTGCTAAACACCCTCACAGAGCCCTGAGTGCTGGAACCAAGCCAGCCGCTTCCTGTGCGTGGCGGGTCAGGAGCTCATCTCATCTCCGTCTCCCTCACAAACTGTTAGCACCGTGCAGGATCAAAGCGACTGAGGCCTCCTCACCCGACCTGGCAACCCCCCAGCCTTCAGATGACCCTGCCAAGTCTGTCGTGGGAACAGGAGGCTGCCAAGCAGAAAACCCAGCAAGTGATAAAGGGAGTGAGGAATGAGCCCCCAGTCAAGGAAGGGCACGGGGAGAGCCTTCCCCAATGCTCGTCGTTCCAAAGAAAGGCCCGGCAGACACCCCCACTCACAGCCACGGTACCCACAGTACCTCCCACCTCAAACAAGTAGACAACGCACTTTAAAACACACACAAAGCCAAGGGACGCAGCTAAAACAGCACTTACGAGGGAACTGTCGCTTTAAATTCTGATACTAGAAAAAAAGAATAAAATCAACGTCCAGAAAGTTCACCTAAAGAAGCCAGCAAATTAAACACAAAGAAAGTAGAACAGAGATAATAAAGGTAAGTTCGATACTTCATAAAGTAGCAAACAGATCAATAACCAATAGAACCAATAGAATCAAAAAGCATTTACAGAATTACACAGCTCTCCCAAGACAGGTCAGGAGGGAAAAAAACCACATATGCAAATTACCAAGGTAAAAATGAAACAGTGAACCTGACTACAGATCCAACATTAAAAGAACATAGAGAAATACAGATCACATCAGGCCCATAAGATTAAACAGAAAAATTCCTTAAGTCATGAATTATATCAAAACTGACTCAAAAAGAAATAGAAAACCTAAATAGCTCTGTATGTATGGCAGGAATTCAATTTGCACTTAAAAACACTGCTGCAAATACACAGCCACAGCAGGCTTCAGTATCAGTATCGTGTAATCCCCTAGAAAACAGAGAAGAGACACACACTGTATGAGGCCCATGTTACCCTGATGACAAAACCCAAGTAGAAAATCTAAAGGAAAGAGCCTACGTATCACTCACCCAGCAGCAGAAATCTTCGGAACAATTTTAGAAAAATGAATTCAACAATATGTGAAAGGTATACAACACCATGACCAGGAGCTTACCTAGGGGATCTAAGCTTCGTTCAACATTCAAATATCAATGAGTGTGATCCTCATATCAACAGAGCAAATTTAAAAAGGAAAAAAACATGTTAAGGAATTATGCAGAAAAAGCATATGACAAAATTCAACAATCATTTTAGACTAAAACTAAGGAAACTAGAAAAAAGAAGGGGACTTCCTCAACCCAATACAGAGCACCTGCTAAATAAAAAAAAAAAAAACCAAACTAACACCTAGTATACTCACGGCGAAAGACGGAACGCCTCCCTGTAGGACGGGCAAGGGGCAAGCGTGTGTGCTTTAGCCACTTTTACTCCTCTTTGTGGAGGTTTGCCTTGGAATAAGGGGGAAAGAACTAAGAAGCATAAAGATTGAAAATGAAGAAGAAAAAGTATCTTCAGTCACAGACACATGTGCATCCATATAGAAAATCCGGAGAAATCTACGAAGAAGCCCCCGGAACTAATCAGTGAGGGCATCTATGCAGGTCACAGGATTCAAGGACGTACATGGAAGTCACCTGTATTTACGTGGAGTTGCAGCCACCAAGAGGAAAAGAGCACAGATCCGAGAAAGGCCGGCCTGAACACATCCGTGGGTTGGACGATGATACTGTTATGAATGCAGTTCTCCTTTAATTTACCTACAGATTCAAGGTACTCCCTAAAAATTACAGCAGGCTTTTTTAAAAGAATTAATAATTGACAAGCTGACTCTGAAGTGTATACTGAATTACAGAAGAGTGTGAGAGGAGGTCTGCTTGGGCAGCACTGGGGCAGTTGGCTGAACGCAGTGGCATGGGGCGGGAGAGGGGTGGGACAGTTGGTGGCCTTGGTCTCCATGGTGGACAGTGAGCCATCGGGGACTCTCTGGAATGCTGCCTCTAGCCAAAGTATGAGACATCCTAAAGAGGCACTTTCAGACCCCTGCTGGCACAGGGAGGCCCTGTCGGGGGGCAGTGGGGCAGCAAGGCCAAGCGTGGGTCCCACTGGAGAAGGCTCCCCCGGGAAATGATGACTCCACTCTGAGGCTAGACACTGCCCGGAAGGCCGGGGTGCCTCAGCCAGGGCAACAGAGCAACTGAGGACCAGCAAGGCATTTTACAAAGCCCACGTATCCCCACGAACACTTTACAAAGCCCACCCATCCCCACGGCCACTTTACAAAGCCCACGCATCCCCACGGCCACTTTACAAAGCCCACGCATCCCCACGGCCACTTTACAAAGCCCACGCATCCCCACGGCCACTTTACAAAGCCCACGCATCCCCACGGCCACTTTACAAAGCCCACGCATCCCCACGGCCACTTTACAAAGCCCACGCATCCCCACGGCCACTTTACAAAGCCCACGCATCCCCACGGCCACTTTACAAAGCCCACGCATCCCCACGGCCACTTTACAAAGCCCACGCATCCCCACGGCCACTTTACAAAGCCCACGCATCCCCACGGCCACTTTACAAAGCCCACGCATCCCCACGGCCACTTTACAAAGCCCACGCATCCCCACGGCCACTTTACAAAGCCCACGCATCCCCACGGCCACTTTACAAAGTCCACGCATCCCCACGGCCACTTCACAAAGTCCACGCATCCCCACGACCACTTTACAAAGCCCACATGTCCCCGTGACTACTTTACTAGCCCACGTATCCCCACAAAGCCAGCTCTGCATGGTTTTGCTGAAAGGTGAGGTAGGTGACTACGGGGACTGGGGAACCCGACCCAAGCACCCCTCTCTTAGCACTCCTGTGCAAGGCCTGCACAGCTGCCAGCCAGGTGGTGCCATCGCTGCCAGCGGTCAGGTGACTGAGGCAGCTGTGATGCCTGCCTAGCAGGGGTGTCATCTGAGGCCCACTTCCCCTCACGCCTGAGTCTGCTGTCCCTGAACCGACCTGAGCACGGAGGCTCCCCTGTTTGCCTG